CCCCCCAATCGTCTCGAACACCACGCTTCCAGCTGAGACGAGGCTTACCCTCATGGCATGTGTCGTGTTCGGCCGGTTCTGCTCCGAGGCAAGATGGCCGCGGTTACGGAAGGACATCCTCATGTCTTTGTTGTCGATGGCACTAGTGGCGCGGTAGCCCTGCTGTCGGCCGCGCTGTAAAGGGAAACGACAAAACAAAACCACAAAGTGAGTCAGTAAAGGAAACGGAAAAGGAGGGGACATCATGGAAACAGCTAGATTAGGATGCACAGGACAGGCTTCGCTGGACAAATGTTGATGGCCTATGCTCCACTGGGAGTTAAAAAGGGCAAGAGAGAGAGAAGAGAGAGAGAGAGAGAGAGAGAGAGAGAGAGAGAGAGAGAGAGAGAGAGAGAGAGAGAGAGAGAGAGAGAGAGAGAGAGTAAAACAAACAGAGTCGACCCACGCTAAAACTTTTCCCCTCCTAGGAAGGGAGAAGTGCGGGGTTCTTCTCCTCCATCACGACTCATGCACAGCAGAGAATTAAAAAATTTGCGGTGCGTGTGATAGATTTGTCTTTGTGGCACAATGAAAGAAATAAGAGGTTCGTTTTTAGTTTGGAAAAATTAGATTTTGTCACAAAATATTCTTGTGCTGTTATAAAAAAAAATGTTCCTTGTTCGACCCGCCGTCACATTCCCTGATCATAGGAATCACGACGCGGTGGAATCAGGCGCTCGTAAATTTTAGGGCATGTGTAGTTATTGGTATCATCTGAAAGCTGATTTATTTGCCTTGATTTCAATGAAATAAATACCCATATCTTTTGAATAGAATTCAAGATATTTTCCATTGAAGAAAGTGAGGTCGCCTGGTTTCAGTGGTGAAATTAGTGAGAAAATGGCCATCAAAGTCTGGTAAATCCAATAGAGAGTCTTTGAAAACTGAAAAATGACATTTTGTGCCTTTAATAAATGATTTTCAGTAAAATTCACATGGAAATGAGTTTTTATATGGACATAAAAGAGGTTGAGCCAAAAAATAAAAATTCGATAAAAATTATCAAACTGGCGGGAAAATGCCTTTCTTCGATATCTGTATTTTGACAAGCGCCGGATTTCTCCACGCCGCCTCACTTATGTTGCTGGAGGTACTGACTTGTCGCTCCATGGCGGCCATTTACATGTACACATTTGTGTTTGTTGTCACAGGAAAATCAATAACTGTTTGATCCAGCCTAACCGAGAGAGGAAAAAATAATGACATTTCTACAAAGTTTTGCGAGTCCCATCGAGCTCGAGTGAACCTACCTGAGGAGCCATATCCAAGGGAGGTAAGGCAGTATTTCTCTGGAAGTTGGACGGGGGCGAGGGCAAAGAGTCGTTCCCTGACATCGGGACGCCCTTGACCTGCAAGGCATCGTTGGCGACCCCACGACTCGACGACCGCTCCTCCTCCTACAGACACACACACACGAGTGACAAGGTCATGTCAGCGATACGATCATCGTTAGGTTTACAATTTGTTCACTCCCCCAGAGACGAGGGGAGACAACATGGTGTGTAAATTGTTCCCTCTTCAATCGGGTTCGAGGATCCTGTGTCGGAATCTCCTCAACTTCATGTTTAAATAAGACTCGAAAGGAATAACTGGGATAAATGGTTAGGGAGTACAATATGACTACTGTAAATTATTAAGTCTATAACCTGGTTGTCAACTTGCTACCTACAACCACCTTACGAAATACCCCAACATCCCTGCCACTGTATTGT